TAAATACAATCAGACTACCATGGAGGCAACAGTGACCACTTGCTTTCACTCATTTCTGTGACTAATCTATCTGTGTACAATTATATGGTTCGTCGTGCGCTCGCTCACGACAAATGATAGACTAGTGCTGTGTTCGTATGTTTGTATATATATATATATATATATATATATATATATATATATATATATATATATATATATATATATATATATATATGTGTGTGTGTGTATGTGTCATTCTATAATCATTGTGAAACAATGCATATACTCCCAAATCCCGCGTACATCAACTTTACCAGTCACAAGGGCGACATACTCCTGAAGTAAGTCGACTGTTTGACCAATCATCGTCAAAGAAGCGTCAAAAACAGACGAAATAAATGAGCGCGGACTAAAATAATCAATAAAAGATTCCGTTTTCGCTACAATAGCCGGAACGTCATTTTTATATGTTCTAAACTTCTCTTTTTTATTTTGGTCGGTGCCCGTTTATTTCTTTTATTTTTCAGCGATAATATTATTTGCATGTATAGCTTGACAGGCAAACTTAAGTTAGCTCCGCATATTTCTAGAATTAGACAGCATATACAGTATCCGTCTTCCCAAAGAATCTCGCCGTTATTTAAATGCGGGTACCAACCAAACACACTTCCCCCTTTCATTTTAAACACAATCGCACCAATAACCATGATGCAAAGTGGGCTCTCACAAAATGCGCCATACCTTGATAAAATGCTACAGGTCCAACATCGTACGGCTCGAATCGTCGCTCACATTGCATACGACGATGATGATGATGACTGTCTATGTATATGGCTCACACCCACTCTGGAGGATTGGCCAAAAAACGTATTATTTATAAGAAATACTGGTCACATCGAATGTATATGACTAATGAATTATAGAATAATTAGAATACATTATTGATGCTAGTTTATAAACTTGCGATCGAAACAAACCTTATTCATTAAAAAAAATTACCGCAGAACAGAGATTGAGGTGGCAATGACCAAATGAGGAGGCTCTTAAGGATACAATATTTGAAATAATATCCACTATAAGGCGTTTAAACACTGTTTTGCTTGTTTGTTTGTTTGTTTGTTTGTTTGTTTGTTTGTTTGTTTGTTTGTTTGTTTGTTTGTTTGTTTGCTTGCTTGTATCCTCTGATCCATGGCTCGTACCCACTCTGGGGGATTGGCCAAGAAAACATATAGTCTCATATGGACGGTAACTGCATTATTGCTTACAACGAAAAAAAGAAGGAGGGTGGGGGGGGGGGGTTGGGGGAGTTGTATAGTGAAGACAGTATGTTAAAAAAAAAGAAACCAAAGATTTAGATAGTGAGAAAGAAGAATCAACAACAAAGTAGACACTACTAGCTACAACTTGATTTTAAGAGCCGACCAGACAGCTGGTTTTGCCAAACCCGATTAATTTGGTATGTCACGGATTTATCCAGAATTGAAAATTACTTTTTGACCCGTTTTTTTTTTGGGGGGGGGGGGGGGTATCTGTTCACGTGGGCTTTGTGTTGAAAAACGTTTAGAGTCTTGAATAAGATTACACACCGGATCGAATGCATCTCTATGGCAATTTCCCAAAACAGAGGCACCAAAACCTAGAACATTTTCTGTGGTTAAATTTAAACCTAGCTTCGCAAATGGAATATCTAAAAGTCGTTTCCTAATTAATGCATAGTTACACGAACTTCTTCCTCGTCGTCAGCGGCCGTCCGTGTGGTTTCTCTTTTATTTGTAGCGTCCCACCCGCTGGTTGTTTATATATTTAATGAGAACAAATCATGAACCGGTTGCGCCTCTGACCTCTCACGCCTCCTTTAGGTCCTGCCATTAAGTCTTTCATAATTTTACACTATTCAGATGATTCGCCTCTCAGTGGTGATATTCTATACTTTTGTCACAAGGTGCGCTGCTGATCGTCATCGAGCCCGACCAGGATCAAATTTCTCAATAGCGATTGGATGTTCACTGCAGACGGCGTAAACGAGCCAATCCCGATCGTCCAACCCGGGCGGAATCAGGCCCCACTATGATGAGAAGTAGCTGTGTGAGACCAGTATTAGTGAGGGTTACATCATAGAATAATGCTGCCACATAATTAACGACCACCAAGTGAAATAGCTTAGTAAAATTAAAGCTGTGTTTACAATCCGTTATTTTCTCCATTTTGTTGTTGCTCTTTAATATGGAATCTTTTCCCGAGTTCATTTTTATTTGTGCTCGTCGTAACAACACTTTCATAAGTATTTCTGCATAAGAAGAGTGTGGACTAGCAGCTGTCATAATTATCTCATAGCAGGTACTCTAACAAGTTATAAATTAGCAAACTCACTCTCAGGCTTTCAATACGTTTGCTAAATGTGCAGTGGATCACACGCGAAACTAAATACGAGTTGAAAATAAAAGTAAAGCAGGTATACAATAAATGTAGATAGCAGGTAGAATACCTCACGTTGTTATTCCGATATTTGCGGGTTTGTTAGCTGATTTTTGCTTTATGTTTCAGAACGATAAGTTCAGTTTTTTTTTCTTCGTGTGTGGTGGGGCCCACTTTGAACTAAGTGCATTTGCGAAAGTGCCGATTTCATTTCAAATCTAGTACTCGACCAAAATTAACCGGTCACATCTTTTGTTTCAAACCACGTGCGCTGGAGAAACGAAAAGGCTGCGCCGGTAAACAATACACGGTGGCCATCGGTGCCCAATGTCACTTCAGCTGTAGCGATTGACGGCAGCTGCATTAGAGTTTATGAGCGATGTACGCACACACGAAAGAAAAAATAAATCAGTGAACAAAAGTTATTATGCAAGAAGATTCTCTCACGCAATCCTTAATAGCCGAGGGAGGGCTGCTGAGGACAGTTTGTCTCCGGGAACGACGAGACACGAGGCCCATTCTGCATTCCGTCTGGGGAGTCAACGGCCCTGTTCGAATACTACACAAACAGCGCAACCATAAACTTCGTTTTTTTTTTTTCTTCCTGGCGAATGAATCCCGATGGGCGCTGCCAAACAGTTGGTCGAGGACCAAAGCACGTTCCTTCTTGCTTCGGGTGTGCGCCATCTCCCACTTTCAACTTTGAACTCCGCCAGCCTTCGCATCTCGTGCCGCTTTGTGATGAGGCGAGCAGGCGGGCGCGCGGAGATGTTCTCGTTCAAGCGGCGTCCGTCTTCTCTCCCCGACGAACGCTTCCGTCCGGCGCTCGAAGAAAACGCGAATCATAAGTTCGTGATCGCGTGAGTTGAGGGACCGCCGATCCGCGCTTTGAGTGCCGCCGCAGCGCACCCCTAACGCCAAGTGCGGTATATAACCCCTTATTTTACACCTGAGCACACTCGGCGTGCATGCAGGACTGAAATGCGCAAGTTTCGCGCGCGCTATTAAGAGTTTTCTTTTGCCGTAGCTGCGCCTTTATTTTTCTTGTACTTTAATCTTTCCTCTGCGAACCATGCTGCGGGCACCCTGGTCATAAAGAAAAGATCTCGGCGGATGTCCTTCGAGAATGACGCTTGCACGGCGGCCACGTCCGCCTCACGAAGGCAATGCGTGTAAGCGGGACGTCGTCGTAAAGGAGCATTAGACGAGGAACGTGTTGCACTATTCACGGACGTGAGCGCGCCTTATTAGACTGCACTGCGTGGATGAGTGTGCGTACGTGCCCCGGAAAGCCTGCAGGATTCGGCCGCAGCCCCTCGCGCCAGGGGTCGACGCTGACCATGCCTTAAGGATGGGCGAAGCCGCGCGTTAAGGAAAAACAGCCGTTCCAGTGATTCTGTGCGCTTATACGCGAAAGCCCCGTTCGTTCAATTTCGCCAACCGAGATATAGTGATTGTGTTCGAAGCCTGTGATATGAGCTGGCTGTATCCAGTACATTTGATAGCGTGTTCCCGATATTGGGATATAGTTGTCATATGCCGGACGTTGCGCAGAGGAGTGCCCGCCAAGCGGCAACAACTATACAAATAACTCTATCGAAATGTTTCTGCGAACACTTCAGTCGTCAGTGTGGTCAAAAGTCCGTTATGCCCGCTGATAGCCTAGCAAATATGCCGTCGTGCGGGGTAACCGCGATGGTGCAGATTCGTCTCCCGGTCCCAGCAGTTACGTTTTGTTCGGGGGCTAATCGCAAGAACAGCCGCGTGTTTATAATTAGGAGCACGTTAAACTACCCCAAGGGGTCAAAATCAATCCGGAGTGCCTCATGCTACCAATCCTGGTTTCTGCTCGAAAAAACACCAGAATTTACCCTAATTCTTAAGCGGGAGAAAAATAAAATCACAACGAATAATAACATGGTTTTTATGATGCTTTCAGTGTGTATATTTTTCGAACTGTCGTGAACGCTTCACTCAGTCAGTTCGAGGAATGCGATTTCGCATAACCTCAACTAGTTCAGTACTGCCATGCTAGATTAGCAAAGAAAGAGGTTTCAGTTTGGAATCACTGCCTTGGTAAGCTATTAATTGTGCCAGCCCACTTCAAAAACTATCAAAAATACGAATGCACGGGAATTTTCGTTTTCTTTCCTTTTCCTTATTCGCCCCCTTCCTTGTTGTGACACGCTCGTCGTGGCTGGGAACTCGTTAACAGTGGTAGAACAACACGGACACTAAATAACCTCAATGAGTCACGCTTTAGCGGTGGCTGGTTTAGAAATAAGATATTCTTTTCTCAGACACCTCCACATGTAACTAGCTTACAAGCGGCCCTAAAGCGATTTGCGTGGCTGTTAAGCTCTTTTACCGCCGTGCTGTTACGAAAAGTTTGCTAACGACAACCACTGTAGCGTGTCTGCACAGATGGCAACTATGACTCAACTGTCTTCTGTCATAATCATCTCACACGCAGATGGCCGCTTTGAATGGGACGTTTTTCCCTCCCTTCGGCTCAGTCGGTCCAGACGCTATTGCTTTCTAATGAACGCGTCCGGCCATATGCGAGCAAAATGCAGGTCATCCGCGCTCAGTGCTCGACTCACCTTGTGTGCTGACGATGCACGCGGCCAGGAATGCGACCAGCGGTGTTAACCTGGACCAGGCCCGTGTCGACATCGTGCCATGGCTCTTCGGCTTACGTCATGGCCTGCAACGTGTACAAACACAACGACAGAACCTTTAGAGCGATTTTCACAGAGCTACAAGCTTCATACGGCTGCCTTAATGGCGCGCCTATCGTATGCGTGATACTCTTCCTCACAAGCGAGCCGCGCGCGTCCATGGATAATGATTTCCTGCGGCCAACGCGACGACACGCAGGGCTCCTCATAGTGTATTCAGTAGCGCAAAACGTTCTCCTTTCTGCGATTTCTCCATGGGACTGGCAGAGCGCGCTCTGATGGGCTAGAATGACAGAGCAGATAACTTTGGTGTGTCCCCCTGTCTAAGTAAGAGGTAAAAAAATACCTTGCCAGTAATCGTCTAAGAAAGCGTTTATAGATAGTACAAAACGTAGGCATTCGTTTAAAGGTAATGAGCATGATCACGCACGATTGCATTTTGATTGAGCCTATTTTCCACTTCGAACTATGTCACTGACTGTTTGCACTGCTTTACTTCAAGAATTTACGCGAAGGTTCCAAATGGAGTAGCTTCAGAGACAACAAAGACGTGCTCTCGAAACTAACTTAGGTTATATAGCGTTCGTCTTGTCGTAATTAGCCGTAAAAAAACCTTGGCTGAAGTGTAAGAGAAACTTTTCACATCTTCATACATAAGCCAGAAGTTCCTTAGAAAACAATTGTCAGCAAGATGCGCTGCTACTACATGTTATTTTTAATGTATCGTGGTTACTTTGTATTTTACCCAAGTTGCAAATAAAGAATCCGGCTTTTGTTAACCACCGTCGCTCTCTGTAGGCCCAATGACATTGCGTCGCAGCTTTTTCTAGAAGCAAAGAGCTCCTTTTTCGGCCATTATACTTTTTTCCGACTGCCTGTTATCGATCACTACAGAAACAAATTTTTCAAGATTGCACTTTCAGAGATCACATATTTTTTTTTTCGAGGTTCATTCGGTCAACGATGAGCAAATGTGTTTCAAGGCCCAACTGAACAATCATGCATACTATATGAAAACAATTATTCATATGTATAACCACTTTTCTTTATGGATACCTCTGCTATTTTTCTATGCTATCGGCCAATTACCGATTTCCGCTTATTCGAATTGATCTTGCGCATCGTCGCGACGGATACGTAAATATCCTGTCACGTGAGCGATGGCGTTTGCGTGCATGTATGGGTGGGCAAGCAGAGAAACGTGGCAACATTGTATTGGTTCAAAATAGACGCCAATTGCACTAGAAGTGTCTCGCGCCTCTTGGAATGAACGCCTACATCTACTTTAAAGAGAACGACTTTTTTTTTGTCATTTTTCATTCATTTCACTCTTTTGCTCACGTTGGCGCGCGTATACAAGCGAAAAGAATCATAATAACGTCTTGGCTGGATAGAGATCTGTGTCATTCTTCATCGCGGAAGCAATTTAAAGAGAACGTTCGGGAGTCGCGCTGGCCCATTTTACGCGGAAATGTGAATAACGAGAGTTGCGAGCTTCATTACAAAGGGCGTCGTTCTCGGGGGCCCGTTACACACGCACGGCGACTTAAACACGTCTTCCCCACCCCCCGTTTAAGCCTAAATGAGACTTTTTTGAGACACATATATGTACGAAAGTCCTGGTGCACAGAACAATCCACTGCTGTGGCACGTGGTAATGTGAGATATACCGGAAGAGCAGGGTAAAAGTAAAAAAGAAAAACAATAGTTGGTGTCTAAAATATGGCGATCATGCCGAGTTTCCGGCTCTATAGCGATTGCTTCCGACCTCTTGCGTTCAAAAAAAAGCACAAAGTTCAAAACAGAATTTTTTTTAATTCTGCACTACGCCCTCGCTCGGGGTGCAATTTTTATAGTTCGTAGCTGAATGTCTCACGCTTTGCGCTTCGGGTTACACAGGGATGAAACCAGGGGAACGCTATATAGATAGTGAAAGTGCATGCTATATGCACATCACCGAAAAATTTGTTGAATAACAAAATCAATAATAAATGCCACATATTCGAGCATTAAATTCGTGAAACGATCAACTAGATTTACTGAAAAGAGTAAACGTCTCTCGTGAGCCGAAAATATTTCTGTTCTACAATCTAACGTTTCGCTGATGTTCTTGTCTATCCTACCATGAGTGCTCTCATTTTGCTTCCTTCGGTAGCATAACAGTGTGAGCTAATATACAATTGACCCATCAAGAGCTAAGTTGTGCTATTCTGCAAGGACACAAGGCGGATTAGGGTCAGTTCGCTACTAATTAGTTGCGTATACCTAAGATGAACGGTGTGGCATCAAACTACTTAAGAGTAGTTTTTCTTATACGCGAATAGCAATAAATTTTGTGGGGATGAGGACATTGCCTGTGATATTTTTACGCCGACGAGGCATCGTGTTCCAGGTACGCTACAGTAGAGACTATTGAACATCTCTTGTGCCACTGTGACCAATTTGATGAAGATCGCCGGGCTCTCCAGTGAGCCTTGAATAGACTCGATGACCGGCCATTTAATGAAGCAAAGATCTTAGGAGCCTGGTCGCGCAGCACATTAGCACAGAAAGCCACGCGAGCCCTCCTGAGATACTTGTCAGCAACTTCATTGAGGGACCGCCTGTGAAACTCGGCATTGTGTGTGTGATGTGACATGTGTCTATCCTTCTCTCTCTCTTTTACTCCCTTCTCCCCCTTCCCATGTGCAGGGTAGCAAAGTGGACGCCTAGTCTAGTTAACTTCCCTACCTTTCCTACATTCTTTCTCTCTCTCTCTGGTACGCTACACACAGAATACGGAATTCATATTGTACGGTCTGTATATAAAGAGAAAAGACTATATATTGCACACAATGGGCGGCCACTTTGGTCTTAGTGGCTTCATGAGGAGGATCCAAGTCCCTGGACTCGGGCGGCATCCTCGGCCTGCCGTCTTCATTTACCTGTCCAATATCGCATTGTGACTAGCAAATTTTTCTGATCCTGGATAGTGATCAGGTGCAGCAACTATTCACAGTATGGCTGTATATTTCAGAAGGAGGAAAGACATAAATGATTACCGAAAGCATTTGCATAGTTCCCCTTTAAAGGAGGGGGGATTCGTCACAGTGCCCCCCCCCCTATTTAGGTCAATGAATGAGGCAGACTTAGCACCCCCCCCCCTCTTAGGTCACTAAAAGGGGGTGCTAAGTGCTTTCCCCCCCCCCACCGTACGTGCACCTATGAGTGCTAGTCTTGAAGAAAATTCAGTACTGAAAGTGAAATTGCGCTCTATTGGAAACATAAGCCATGCTTTTAAGCCACACAAAAATAACAACTGCAATTCTCGATATTCAATTAGTATATTACTGATGAAATTAACGCACCTATGCAAATTAAATTATTTGCGGATGATTGTGTACTGTACAATAAAATTAACTGCCCTGAAGATCAAGTAACACTAAACTCTAATTTTCAAAGTATTCTTGCCTGGTGTAGTCGGTAGAGTATGAAATTAAATGCCAATAAAACAATCTATATGTCAATAACTAGCAAGAAATTTAGGATACTGCCGTTTGTCTGCAAACTAAGTTTCGAGCTGCTTACAGAAGTCAGCGAGTATAAGTACCTGGGAATTACAATAACCAACAAACTGATCTGGAATACTCATATTTCTAACATATGCAACTCTTCGTTCAATAAACTTTGCATAAGCTAAAACATACACCTGCTAGTACTAAATTAACGGCTTATACATCACTAATTCAACCTAAACTCGAATATGCCTGCGTTGTCACCAAACACCAAAACTAACATTGATATTCTCGAAAGGATTCAGCGTAAAGGTGTGAGATTCATCTTTTCTAAATATCGTAATAGCGATTCACCCTCTAGTCTGGCGACACGGCATAGCAGTCAACCACTTCAGTTACGTAGAAAAATTCAGAAACTAAAACTTCTGTTTTTCTTCAAATATAATCTTTAATTATAAACCCAAGTTATTATTTGGGACCACTTACAGCTCGTAGGACCCGGCATCGTCACGTTGACTCTTTAACACCTTATCGTACAAGAACTTATCTATTCAAATATTCCTTATTTCCACGCACCATAACATATTGAAACAACTTACCTTTTTCACGTCTTTCTAACGCCGATCTTTTAGAACATGTGATCATCTGACACTACAGTCACTTACATGCTATATTTATACCTTTATTAATTGGTTATCTCGTGTTCCCTGATCCAAAGTCCAATAAACTATCACAACTTCTGGAAAGGGTTTGTTCCTTTATTTTTTTCACGTCAATTTGAGTATCTATACATATCACACACTCTTATTATTGTGGCTTGAACGTGAAATACGTGAACATTTTACGTTTGACTATGTTTTAGTGTCTACTTTTTGGTTTTTGGCTACTTTTGTTGTCTGTATACATCTCGCATTGTTTCTTCTTAATAATTGTACAGTTTGCGTCTTCCTTCTTTTCATGTTGGTTTATTGTTTTTATCCTGTTAGTTTTTGCTCATTACGTATTATTGACATTTTCAAACGTTTGTGCGCGTTTCGCGTAATTTAAAAGCATTTCTTTGTACATTCGCCCCCTGCTTGGTCCCCCTTTGGGCCTGCAGTAATCCGTAAATAAAGAAAAAAATAAATAAAACAAAAAATCCAAATCAGGGGCATGAACGATTCCTCAGAAACAGCGACTCCCTTGAGCTATGCCGATGCAGCCGAAGTGAACGGTCACTGTGCCGCAGAGTTTCTGCGCTTCAGACGCTAATAGAAAGGCTACGAAAGGCTAGCTCGTTAATTTTCCTTTTGCTCGTTTGTTCGAAGCTCCTGCGCGATTCGCCTGCCGCTCCGGTTCGTCAGTGAAGTATCTGGCATGCCATCGCACGGGCGCACGCGGTTTTCTCGGCTGTCAGCCAATTGAGGCGGTCGCCCACTGCTTCAAATTGCCGGCTTGGCGAGCTTCTTCTGTAACGAGGCCGCTATTAATCGCGCCGACCGCGCGAGTGAGCAACGCGTAAAGCGGCCGCACAGGCACGCGTAGTGTGCGCC